GTTACAGTTCTGTACATTCCTGTGTTGCGTGATTATTATTTATTATTTTTTACTCGCTAGACTCTCTCCCTCTCCTACGGTACCTCTCTCCCACTTCCACTTATACAGTGGCTCCGATTGGCTACCGCTGCCCAGCTGTTTGCCGTTCCCCCCCTGACGTCACCCAAGATCTTCAATCCAGCCGCTGACACCGTGGCATAAAAGTGGTGACAGGATGCTACTCGGGAGGAACTCCCTGAATTTCTGTGTTGTGCTGTGTGTCTGTGAATTTGATATTCGTTCACTGTGTGTTACAATTTGGGACCTGTTCGTTTTTATTTGTCTGTTCTCCAATTGTCTAACGTCAGTGTCTTGCGCATCTGAGGTTGGAGAGTGGGACAGGTAAGAATGTCGCGCGACATTCATTGTACACACGTAGTTGGAATATCTCTGTTGTTAGACACACTAGGTAAGGGGCGTTCTCCACTCACTGTACTTTTGTTTGCTCATCAGATATTAGAGTAGGTTAGGTAGAACGTAATAGACGCAAAGATTTCTTTTCAATAACTTCTGTATTTTTATTTTTGATAGTTAGGGTAGAGTTTGGGCCAATAGATTGTTTTGTTTTATTTATTTCTATTGTTAGGACGCCGCCCGCGTCTCATTTCTCCAACTCTCCAATCTATCTGGTCAAATAAATGTCTCATTTGTTAACTTTGAAATTCAATGTGTCTTTGTAAATATTTAATGATCTTTCTATATACATGTTTTTGGCATTTATTATTATCACTATCTTTGTAAATAAACTCACTTTTCTGCATTTAGCTGGTGTTGGTATTTTGTCCCTCACTTGTTGATATTGTGTGTTTGCTTATGTGTTTCACCCAAAAATGAATGTTACTCCCCTTCCCCTTGACTTACCATCTTTAAAATCGTAACAGATGAAAATTCAACTCTATTCAATTGTCAACTCTATTCTATTCTTCTTTTGGCAATGAATGTTCCACGGTCACATGTATGAACTCAGGTGTTTTCTTCTGTTGCTGTGCCTTTAAATTAAAAATACAAATAAGGTGGCATATTTGCAAATCCTGATTATTAATTTGCTTATGTACACGCCACATTATGACATTCAGGAAGGACAGTTGCACCCCTGATGTAAAGCAGAAGGATGAACAGTCAATGTTATTGTTGTAACTTTATGTAAATCACTTTGACTTTGAAAGATGGAACAGCATGTTTACGTATATATTTACATGTTTATACTGAAGTCAGTCACCCATTGCTCATTTAAATGTATTATGAACAGTAAAAAATCAGGCAGAAAATTCAACAAAATAATAATCAGTCCAACCAGCAAACAGGCAAAAGGTTCATCTATAAGGCAGTAATTCAATAAAGCAGATGAGGAAGTCATACAAGAGTTAAACAGAATAATGCAGGAGAATTGTTGGGTAAGAAAGTGAAACTGGCAATACTTTTCAGAGTGTTTGGTAGTGATGTCCACTTTTAAAAGACTACTTCCTAAAGCTTTGAAACCCTTACAAATATTTTGCTTTACATTAAAAGGTATCAAATGGCCAAGGTGACTTGATTTCAGTAAACAAGACTTCCACCCATAAACCATACTCGAATCTACTATAAAGAGGTTGTCTTGGGTACGGTTTGTGTGAACTCTGGTATAGTTCATTTCTGATATTTATGCAGTCGTACTTCAGCCATATCACCATTTAACCAGTTACTCACTGATGCTAAGCAGGGCTGAGCCTGGTTAGTATCTGGATGGGAGACCACATGGGAACACTAGATTGCCGTTGGAAGTGGTATTAGTGGGGCCAGCAGGGGGCGCTCAACCTGTGGTCTGCGTGAGTTCTAATGACCTTGTAAAGTGAAGGGAACTGTACTGTCAGTGGGCACCATCTTTCAGATGATATGTTAAACTTTCTCCTAAAGAGTAGGGGTGTAACCCCGATGTCCTGGCCAAATTCCCTCCATTAGCTCCTACAGATCATGGCCCTTACTCACCCCCATCCACCGATTTGGCTCTATCACTGCCTCTCCACTCTACCTATAGCTGGTGTGTCGTGAGCGTACTGGCGCTGTTTTCCTGTGGCTGCTTTCGCATCATCTACTGGTGGTGGTGTGCCCCCCTCATAATTGTGAGGCGCTTTGGGTGTATGGCCATACACAATAAATGCAGTATTAGCGTATATAGCGAAATAAAGCAAACGTTACAACATGAGACTCACCCAACTTTAAAATGACTGTGAGGCGGAGGATGTGGGAAAGGGCCGTCATCGCAGCTTGCGCTTATGGTTTATACCCACATAGCAAAATTTCTCTCGCTCAGCTCTGGCCCACACAATGAGGTTTTGCTTGGCCCACATGCCGCAGTGAATTACGGTACATGACTGGACCAAATCTGGCTTCCAGACAAGGGCCAAACACGGACCATATCTGGGCCAAGTCTCAGCCAAGTTAATAACTCATAACTGGGCCTGAACTGGGCCAGTAAGGTTGGTGTGTCACGATTGCAATGAAATTGATAAACCATGGAGTGATGCGCTATAGGCACACTATGGGCACGCTTTTTCTCAAAGTGACCTGATTGGTAGAATTTTTTTCTTTACTCAAAAATGATTTTAGTGTATTTTAAATGTGGGTCAAGACTGGCCAAACTCACATGGCCCACTTATCACATTTTTAAATCTGGGCCAAATACTGCGTTTTTCATCTGGCCCAAATCTTGTGTGCCGCCTTAAAGAAGGTGCCACCTCTGCCAAACCCGGGCCATGTTTGGCCCACATGGTGTATGCCAGTGCCGGATGAATGCCTGCTGTGCCAACTTTATGCCAAATCTGGGCCAGAATTCTTTGCTACTAGGGTATGCTTGATGTCCTCCACTGTTCAGAGGAATTTGTGGGTACGAGAGAGATCTCAGGTCTGGTGGGAGCAAATTGTGGCGACTGACCAATTTCCTCCATGATTCCTGTTATTGTTGATTACCGCGTTGGTATCTCCACACACGCTCTTCCTTCTACGTCATTAAACCGCGGAGAAGCACCACATTGTCGCAAGTTTAATGATGTTCAGAACGAAATGCCTCAATAAATCCGATCTGCGAAGGAGATGTGCGACATGTGAAGGAGGCCTGAAACCGATCTCTTAATATCTAAATACATGCGTTTTTTTTTTGTGTGTTTACACGAACATAGAACAGACGCGATCTGTGTTAAATATGAGGAAAAAATCAGAATTGGGTCACATTTAACTGGCAATGTAAACGGGGCCTAAGAAACTAGAACGTGCAAAAAGGTAAATTTGCGCTTATGTCTATTCGCCCGTTTGCATTGACTTAACATGTAAATCACTCGCGCTTGACGCACGTTCCTCGTCTATTGTGAACGCAGCATCCAAGCGGCCACTTCTATTTCCCCTCTCCTGCAACACTAGTGTGCAACTTAATCAAAACATATACTAAAATTGTTTTACATTTGGTTTTGTTGTTCGGGCCTAAATAAATGATTGTTGCCATTTCTAATCGTTTAAGTTTATTTGATTGACTATATATAGATCAGTGCATATTATTAACGTATTTATTGGGTAAAATAGCTACTTTTTTTCCCGTCATTCAATGTGTTTTGCTCATTATCAATGCACTGTCACTTTAACTGAGCGTGAGCAGCACGGCAAAAATAGACCCAGTTTACATGAAACTATCGCAGCACTGCTGCTTCAGCAACGCTTACACTTCGCTCTGTGGCATGAAAGCTCTAATCGGTTAACATGGACTCAGAAAAACATGCACTGCTCATGCTCTGCTTATGCTTGTGTTGTGAAACAGGTTTCAGAGCCCATGCGACACACAAATTGAATGTTTGACAAATGGATAAATTTGATGATGTGAAGTTTAATTTTAAACTAATTTCGAGAGGAGCATGTGCTCATGATTGACCCAGCTGGTCCACATTAGCTTATAATGATCCTATAATTAAAGGATCCCAAATCACTATATATATCCTCATTTCCTTTTCTACAACTATCTTCATCTGGAAGAAACCCCCCTCCTCCCCTTCTTCCTCCTTTATCCAGAATGGGCGGCACGGTGGCCCAGTGACTACACTGTTGCCTCACAGCAACATACCAATGGTGTTGGGTCCTCGCTGAGCCATCTGGTATTTCTGTGTGGAGTTTGCATGTTCTCCCCGTGTCCGTGTGGGTTTCCCCCGGGTTCCCCGGTTTCCTTCCACAATCCAAATGTGCTCTATATTATAGATAAAACAAGCCTAAACCTTTTTTATAATGTCTTATTCTCAGGAAGTTCGCCTTGGCCTCAGCAGCGGGGGAGTTTGAGATAGACCTGAGCTCAATCTCCACTCGCCCTGCAAAAGGGGGGGAGCCCTAGTCTCGAGAATCCCTTGAGCTCAGGGCTCTCTCCCGGGACAGCATGCCAAACAAGCTATTTATAAATCATGAGCTAAGTGTGAACTCTTGAAGTAGGTACAAACATGACTATCATTTGATAAAGATGCTGTTTAGGAACCTGATGGTTTAGTCTTGTCCAGCAGCACATGAGTGCTATAAACCAGCGGAAATACGAATCTTTAGAGTTTCATAGATGCTTAAAACATTGGTATGCTAAATTATGTCACTGAAGGTGTCACTGCAGGTCTTCATATGCATGTAAATGAGCAAACATGTGAAATACTCAATGATATCCACAAACAAATAGCCAAAAAAGATCATGGAAAGGAAATGAAAAGAAAACGCCATGTTGAGGTGGATTTTTCTTGTGAAGCTGCTGTAGAAAGTCTTCACCGTGAGACTCTAGAACCAAATTCAAATGAGCACATTTCCAGAGAAGTACAGGAACAATGAACTACAAAGAGATCAAATTTGCAAATTATCCTTAACGAGGAAGCAAAATGAAAATGTCATTTGTTTAGTGTAATAAACATAATGTGACGTGCTGAATGATGGATGAACGCGGATATAGAATAATCACAGTCTGAAGCTGCAGAGAGAAACATCAGACTGAGGACAGAAACACACCAGATCTGAGGTAAGAACCAAACACATCTACAGTCTTTACACAAATATTCTAAGACTTCTAAGATATTTATATCGTCGTAAAGATTATAGATCTGATGGTATATATGATATAATGTTTTGTTTTTTTATGTGAAAACATTAAAATATTAAAGTTTTCAACGTGTTTCTTCCTCAGAAATGGCTCAGACTCTATATTTCCCTCTTCTCCTCATTGGTGAGTGTGTTTGTAGTTTTATTTATGGTTGATAGTTTCATTAGGTTTGACTCTGTTCTGAACATCATTAAAGCAAAGTGTCTCTTTCACAGCTCTCTGCTCCATATCTGAATGTGTTCAGCATCATTATTACTATATAAATGAGGGGAAGAACTGGACTGAAGCTCAGAGATACTGCAGAGAGAAATACACAGATCTGGCCACCATTGACAACATGAACGACATGATCCGGCTGAAGAAGAGTGTGAATGATGCACCTGTTGAGAATATGTGGATTGGTCCTCGGAGGACGAATGTATATAAATGGCATTGGTCTTCAGGTGATCCTGTGCTCTTTCTGAACTGGACATCTGGAGAACCAGCCGGCACTAATGAGTGTACTGTTATGAATAATGGACAGTGGGATAATGAGGCATGTAATAACACTCGTGTCTTCATCTGCTATAACAGTGAGTACAAACCCCTTCTGTAACAAACATCCATATAACAAAAGATGCTTCAAATGGACATTTAAATGTTAGAATAGTAAATATTGAATATTAAGTCAGATCTAATTTGCAATATTGGGTCAGATATGTCTGACAAACCTTATATGAACTGAAAGGCAAACAGATAAATATATTTAATATTATTATACTCTTACAGTTTATAAACTTAAAATAATAATAATTAGTATTCATAATCAACTCATAACAACTCTTCATAGCACAGGCTTTTCTTGAACTTTCACAGCTACTTCTTTTCACAGCCAAAGCATACAACAGTATAAGAATAAACTGATAAAATAATTTTTTTATACATTTTCTTAAAGTGGGCAGAGGACTGGTGTTTGTTGATCAGGAGATGAACTGGAGAGCCGCTCAGAGTTACTGCAGACAGAATCACATTGATCTGGTCAGTGTGAGGAACCAAAATGAGAGTCAACAGCTGGAGAACTTCATTAAAGACAAAAACTCACGTGGATCTCCAGTCTGGATCGGTCTGTTCAGAGACACATGGCAGTGGTCAGATCAGAGCAACTCCTCATTCAGATACTGGTATACTGGTGAACCAAATAATGCTGGAAATAATGAGAAATGTACAGTGATTGGCGCATATTCTCAGAGAGGATGGGCAGACGTTGCTTGTGATGATCGCCGGATTCCTTTTGTGTGTCATGACGGTGAGCAGATCCTCCAAACACACTTAATCCATCCTCAGCTCCAGATCTCTTAACTTTTTCCCTGCCACTGTTTTTAAAAAGGTTGCCAGCATTTATGATTTTCACCAAAATTTGATGGCCATCAGGAAGTTTTCTCATAGGAATATATGATCATGTTATTTAACAATAAACCACCAAACTTCTGCTTTAAAAAAAACTATATATTCATGGGCTTGTGTTTTCCCCCAGTTGAATGCCTGTAGATTTAATAAAAAATGCAACATTTTCTGACAAAAAGTGAGTAAAATGCAGACCATTTTCAAGAAGTTTAGAATACACATGCGTAAACATGTTTTTGTGAGCATGCACGTGTGTGTGCCAGGGTTCAACAAGGTGCTTAAAGTGCTTGAATTTGGCCTTTAGAAATTCAAGGCCTGGAATACCTGGAAAACAGGCTTGTTTTAGTAAAAAAAAAGTGCTTGAAGTTAAAAAAAGGACTGTGCAGTTTCACGCTGAAAAATAAAAAATGCTTGAGAACTTTTGTAACAATTTAATGCAAAAATACCCGCACAAACACTACCAGGATTCTGAAGCGGTGATTTGACTAACATGAAAGTGGCCAATCACAGTCGACCTTGTCTAGTTTTATGTGAAACGTAAGGGCAGGATAAAGGCCTTTCTTTGTTGCAGAGACAGTAAAAAAAAGACAACTTAAAAACAAATGTTTTATTGGAATAATGCTTTTCGGATGTTTTCACTATAGAGATGTCTATGTTATTAGCAAGAGTAATTAAACCGTAGACATACTTCCTGCCATTTCGACGATCTCCCCACACGTTTCCCCCTCTTCGCTCTGACAGCGAGGTTTCTCGCTTCTGACCTGTCACTCTTGTAAAGTCTAGATGTCGGCATGGGATTGTAGGTATTGCACTATTACTCATTTCTGCAAATGTCGCGAGTGCTTAGTTTACTTAGCCTAGCATAACTTTTAGCAAAGGTGGAATTTTTTTTTACTTATTTACGACAAAAGAATTTTGCTGGAAATGTTTCAGTTCGAGGTCTTTGTGTGATTTATACATAATAGCTGTGTCCTAATGTGTCTTAGAGCATCACTACATTATACAGGCATTACAGGTCAAAGCAATCTGTTGTTACATTTGTCAAAATATGCAAAAAGGCTCTTAAAGCACTGCTTTGATAAATGTAGTGCTGTCATACTTCAAATACCTCAAGTGAAACAAAGTCATTTGTTTTATTATTTTATTTCTGAGTGTACTTGTGTTTTTTGTAAAACTATTTCAGTTTAAGATCAAGTGTAAAATAAAATCTCCATGTGATGTACGATAGTGATGGGTTGTTCATGAATGATTCGTTCATTTTGAACGAATCTTCAATATGACTCGGGAACTACGAGTCCTATCAGGGAGTGATTCGTTCATCCGCACGTGTGCACATTTGTGCAGGTAGTATCGTTAATTTCAAGTCTTCATCACATTGGCAGAAGCCAATCATATGCGATTAGAGCCGGAAAAAGAATTGTTCCGCTCACCTCTGGAGTCCTCTATCAGGTCTGAGTCACTCGTTTATCACAGGCCAATCATACGCGTTTAGAGCCGGAAAAAGAATTGATCCATTCATCTCTCGAGTCCTCTATCGGGTCTGAGTCATTCGTTCATCACGGGCCAATCATACGCGTTTAGAGCCGGAAAAAGAATTGAACTGTTCATCTCTCAAGTCCTCGGGTTTGAGTCATTCTGTCATGTGATGAACGAACGATCATGGCTCCTATCGGCTTAGACTGTGCATTGATTAAGATTATATGTGACTGTCAGTGTAACGTGAATGAACCCCTGACATTTGAAGACATGAAGAGGTGAGCTGAGCAAAGAGAAAACAATGCCTTCATAGACAAAAGAGCAGGTAAACATTGAATTATTATTTTCTCCTTCTTATATTCTATTTATGATTTATTTGTCGTGCAATCAACCTTTTGGGCTAGTTGTAGATGTGTTTGGAAGCAATTCGTAACATTTTGATAATATTTTGGCAAATTGAACCAAATGAACGAAATACTCAAAAAAAGATTCGTTCATCTTGATGAACGAGACTCAAAGATCCGAGTCAGTAAAATGATCCGAACTTCCCATCACTAATGTACAGCTATTTAAGAAACAAATTTGTCATATTGTGAAGACAAGAAAGAGCAAATAAGGAAAATATTGTAAAATATGTGAATAAAAGGCTAAATTTAAATCTTTTCATCATATACTTTAATTAAACCTTTCAAAGCTTGAAAATATTGTTTAAAAATAGACAAAATGTGTCTCTATGGACTTAGAGAGAATGTGGTAGTTTTGTCAGTGCTACTGAAAAAGATTAATTGTCATGAAAGGAAAAATCGGCCATACTTCCTTTGTTATTTATATATTTGTGGTTTAAGCAATTAAACCATACAAATAAGTTTACACTTTAAAAAGGGCTGTAATGAAAAAATATTTCTTTTTTTTTTTTTCAAAAGTAACTAATTAGTACTCAGAGTAGTTTTTTTTAAAGAGTAGTTTGTACCTGTACCTAATATTAGCATTATTTTATGGTTATTAGTATTGTTATGATTTAGGATTGGTAGAGCTACGCATCGATGAATTTGCTCTTCAGTGTTTGAACTCTCAGTAATGATTAAATCACACTGAACTGAGCTAAACTGAACTGAACTTAAACACTAAAAAACTGAACTACCCTGTTCCAGTTACTATGACCATTTATGTGAAGCTGCTTTGACACAATCCACATTGTAAAAGCGCTATACAAATAAAGCTGAATTGAATTGAATATTATTTACTAAAATTTGTATTATTTTAGCAGTGTAGTGATATTTTTACTTGAGTACAATAAAAACATTTCACAAGCACATTTAATGCAGGTTTATTATATTATTAATTATCAATATATGATTAATTATTTATTATACTATTTATTATTATTATATGGTTTTTACTTGTATAAATTCCTATGCAATGTTTTTATGGGTTGCTGAGAATACATTTTAGATGTTCAATGTGTTGCGTGTCAGTCTTGAAAATAAAAAAGGGTGCTGGAAAAAAGTGCTTAAAAGTCCTTGATTTTCGTTAGGCTGTGGCTGTATGAACCCTGGTGTGTAAAACTCTTCCACATTTCTAACCTCATGCAAATCAACAGGGGTGGATCATTTCACTGTGGTTAGCTCTGATGAAGCTGTAAATAAGCCAAGGGAAGCTTGTATAAGGCTTTATTTTTACACGCCATCTGATTTTCACTTTTTCTGTTTTATTTTTCACTTTCAAGAGACTGAACTCCTGTAACTGATTTAGGAACTGCACTAGGGCTTCCCTTCCCTTAATATAAATAAAACATGGATTACCATGAACAGGGAAGTGTAGTCTCTTAATTAACAAGTTATCTTGTCAATGGCAGGGAAATTATAAAGTTGACTCTACATGTCTGACATGACAGATTCCTCCACAGTGTTTGTTCTGCATGTTGTTGTTGATCAGTCTCTCTCTAGTTTCTGCTTTGTTTTGTGTCCAGATAAACTGATTGTGATCCAGCAGAATCTGTCGTGGTCTGAAGCTCTGAGATACTGCAGACAGAATCATGTGGATCTGGTCTCGGTTCAGTCAGTGGAGATGCAGCGTCGTGTGATGAATGTGGTTAAACTGGCATCTACTAATGCGGTGTGGTTGGGTTTGCGTTATTCCCACATTTTTGGCATCTGGTACTGGGTGAGTGGAGAGACCGTGTGCTATCAGAAATGGGCTCCAAAGTACGGCACATCAGAGGAGGACTGTGAGCCCACAGTGAGATCTGGAGCAGTTCAGTCTGGAGGAAATTGGCACTGGATCAGTCGTCCTGAAACTGACCGACTCAACTTCATCTGCAGAAACTACTGAGAGTGAAGAAGTAAGATGGGGAATGTGTTCTGTTACGATTTATCATTGGATTGGGAAGTAATCATTTTACATAAAATAATCAACTCTGAATGCAGTGATGTACATTGTAATTATTTTTTTATTCATATTTTACATAAAATTGGGTGAAAAACCTTATATTTTATAGTGTATAATGGTTTCAAACATAAGATTTCAATAAATGACGCTTTGTTATGTCATACCTAAAACAAAATGATTTTAAGTTTCAGTGCTGTCATAGTGAGTGAACCATCTGTCAACCTGTGTCTATATAATAACTATATTTTAATCAAGGGTCTTGACCTGAAAAAAAAAGCAATAACACTGTAGTTAGCAAAGTCACCTCACAGCAACAAGGTCTGTGTCCCGGCTGGGCTAGTTTGCATTTATCTGTAGGGTTTGCATGTTTGCATGTAAATGTGATTGTGTGTGGGTGTTTCCTTGTACTGGGTTATGGCTGGAAAGGCATTTGCTGCATAAAACACGCAATTGCTGCAGATTTGTCAGCTGCACAATGCGAATATCCCATTCCACCACATCCATTTGAATACAGTGAACTCATTGTCATGTTTAAGAAACCAGTCTGAGATGATTTACGCTTTATGACATGGTGTGTTATCCTGCTGGAAGTAGCCATCAGAAGATGGGTACACTGTGGTCATAAAGGGATGGACATGGTCAGCAACAATACTCAGGTAGGCTGTGGCGTTGACACAATTCTTAATTGGTACTAATGAGCCCAAAGTGTGCCAAGGAAATCACCACCACCACCAGCCTGAAGCGCTGACACAAGGCAGGATGGACCCATGTTTTCATGTTGTTGACGCCAAATTCTAACCCGACCATCCGAATGTGTCAGCAGAAATGGAGCCTCATCAGAGCAGGCAACGTTTCTCCAATCTTCTATTGTCCAGTTTTGGTGAGCCTGTGTGAATTGTAGCCTCGGTTTCCTGTTCTTAGCTGACAGGAGCGGCACCCGGTGTGCTCTTCTGCTGCTGTAGCCCATCCGCCTCAAGGTTGGACATGTTGTGTGTTCAGGGATGCTCTTCTGCAGACCTCGGTTGTATAGAGTGCTTATTTGAGTTACTTTTGCATTTCTATCAGTTCCAATCAGTCTGTGCATTCTCCTCTGACCTCTGTCATCAACAAAGCATTTGAGCCCACAGAACTGCCACTCTCTGGATGTTTTCTCCTTTTCAGACCATTCTCTGTAAACCCTAGAGATGGTTATGCATGAAACTCCCACTACATCCACAGTTTTTAAATACTAAGAGCAGCCCGTGTGGCACAAACAACTATGCCATGGTCAAAGTCACTTAAATCTCCTTTCTTCCCCATTCTGATGCTCACTTTGAACTACAGCAGATTGTCTTGACCATGTCTACATGCGTAAATGCATACATGCCTAGTTGCTGCTATGTTATTGGCTGATTAGAAATTTGCGCTAATGAGTGGTTAGACAGGTGTACCTAATAAAGTGACTGTTAAGTCTATGGCTGCGTCCAAAACCGGCTACTACTCAGTAGGTACTGCATTTGAATGTAAACGTACTACTAGGCCGTTAGAAAAGTACGTTCTATACAGTATGAATGTGAAAAGTATGATCGGAATTCGGACGTACTACATCCGCAATTTTGTCATTGTCACGCGACCTACCTGCGTCATTTGCATCACTTCACTCCCATTCATGAATTCGCTCGCGGGGCATCAAGGGACAGTGCAGCGTGCATGGAATGCGCATTCCAGAATCTCGCCGGAAGTAGTAAGTCATCCGGGTACTTCTCGCATACTGATTTTGGAATTCTATGAATTCGGACATACTACTTGGCTCGCATACTGATTTTAGCGTACTATATAGTATGGAAGTATGCGGTTTCGGACGCAGCGTATATGTTTATTCCGTCACTCTTTGTGCCACTGTTCTCTCTCTCAATCTGTTCAGGAGCCTCATGTATCAACGCTGCGTATGCACAAAAACTTTGTGTATGCCAGGTTTCACACTTACGTTTGGATTTACAAACGATGGATTTTTCAGCAGGGTAGTTTATGGCAATGGCAGTGTTGGCCTTATTAGAGGACATTGTCAATGGTTGAATCCCAAGGGATCACAGTGATTTTCTGGCCCACGATGTTGACTGCCTTATTCGCCATTTCAGATTTCCCAGAGCTATCCTCTCGGATCTCTGTGCTGAGTTGGGTCCAAATTTGGAATGTGAGACAGCGAGGAGGCTCCAAGGTGGCAGGGTGCGCGATGGGTGGCTTCTTGGTGAGTGATGTATTTAAAGATATTACTCCAGGTAATTTTTCATTAAATTTTATTTTATCGAGCGTAATTATTTAACTGCATATCAGGCGACTGAGGTTATCCATTAAAGACGTGTCTGTTAACCTCTCTTAACAAACCCACAAACTAACCAAGAATGCAGATACAATGAAGCCCATTCTCACACTCGGTGAGTTGTAGAGCGGGCGATTGCCTTGATAAGAGCGGAGGGCTGCTGCTTTACCGCCCTAACAAAGTGTTTCTCTAATACATCTGTGTCTCCCAGACACGGATACTACTCCAGACAGTAAAGCGTCACCAACAATTGAGGCATTTCTCTCCTCAAAGAGTGTTAGTTCAGCATCCCCTGTTCTTCTGCCTGTTCAGTCCACACTTTGAAGGTGTGCTGCTGTTCTCCTCTTAACCTGCACCTTTACATCGGATCATTTCTTTTTTAATTCACTCACAGTGTGATGTTTAGACCCCACTGCATTAACCGCGTCAGCTAAACTCTCCCACTCTATTTTTTTCTTTTGTTGTTAATTCCGGAGGAAAAACTTGCAAATAACAGCTTTTCTCCGGTCTACCTCCGACAGGAGAACCTCCAATTCACATTCTGTGAAGTTTCTCTTCTTGCTTGCTTTTGTCATTGCTTTTTCGTTTGGTTTTGCCAATATGGAGTCATTACCATATTCATTAGGGGGAGGAGGCAGGGAGAGGTTTTGTGCTCGTGCACATATGCTCAGTTTCATGTTAATTCGAATGTACTAAGAGAATATGCGTGCGATTTTGTGTACGCGGTATTTCATACATCTGATTTTTTTTAGTTTTTATTACTGCGTAGGCACAATTACAGCTTTGTCCGTATGCAATGTTGTAGTCTGAATTCAAGGCAAGTCTATGTACATGAGGACCCTGTACCTGTTTCCAAGTTTACATTTACATTTAGTCATTTAGCAGACGCTTTTATCCAAAGCGACTTACAAATGAGGACAAGGAAGCAATTTACACAACTATAAGAGCAACAATGAATAAGTGCTGTAGGCAAGTTTCAGGTCTGTAAAGTCTAAGAAGGAAAGTATTAGTAGTAGTAGTATTTTTTTTTTTGTTTGGGTACAGTTAGTGTGATATTCAGAGAGGCAATTGCAGATTAGGAAGTGAAGTTGCCCATTCTTAATTAGATGTGCCACAGCCGAGTACTGTGATTGGTGCTCTGAAAAAGCAGCATCTTTAGAAAATAAGACTGCCAAAAAAGCCAGATCACAGGCGAAAGAGGAAGAGCTGTTTTCAAGTTGTTGAAAAGTTGCTTAATCTCAGTGTGTTTTAAAGTGTTCTGTTGTAAAATAGTGTGAAATGTGCTCTCCATCCTTCTCATCTGCTGTAACTTAATTTTCTTCATGTTTTTGGTTTAGTAATGGTGTAAAGGAAGTAACTAATTTATTTGTTTAGATTCTCTTTGATTATGTCTTGTGTTTATTATTTTGGCCTTGTTGAATCTATTTTTTGCTCTTATTCTTTTGTTTTTCTGTTGATACAAACTGTTTTCTCACAATAAATGAATCTGAACGTCATTAAATTCCAACCTGTTAACTATTTAATTATTGAATTATTACTTTATTTTCTTTAACTCCAGACCTAGACCTTGGGTTCATAACAATATCATTAAATATATTAAATGCCAAGGAAATCTTTTGTCCTGTATTTAAAAACTGCATTAATGGGCAGCTGATGAACATCCACAATTATACATTTCTATTTTTTATTGAATATGTTCACACTTTTATTAAGAAAATCAACAGAGTCATTGAAAAAAATAGTTTTGAATCTTTCTTTTTCTATATATTTTGCATTAATGTGAAAGACAAAGCAATAATGAATAAAATTGAATTTGCACAATAACTGACAGTTCATCCGACTGTTTCACATCAGATATATAAATATTGTGCATCCTAAATGTCAAAACCTAAAGTGTACATAATCAGATGAATAATGAGGATGGGCACATATACAAATACATTTGAGTTTTATAAAGAAGCACAGAAACAACAACAAACTACAGCTGTGAAATAAAATAAACAAAAATATATATAATTCTAAAAATGTAACGATGTTTAAAAGCCTGGATTCCAGTGAATCCTAATCAAATATTTAGGCCCTGTTCACACAGAAACCAGACGAAATCCAGAAATCCAGACGAAACCACAGTTTGAAGAACTCCACTATATTTTTTTAAACCAGCTCTAAAATCTGAAATCTCAATCTGAAAACTCTTTTCATGTGAACAATCAATCCATATATTTTATGAAACGTTGATGTCCTCAGCCCACATCTTGCCCTAGTCAGAGATGCTATGTCACAAAACAGCAACAACAACGGCGGACTCTACATGCTTGTGTTCAGACGGCTGAAGCTGCTGAGCTTAATAGCTTTACTGAAGCTAAATCTTCTTCTCCTTTGCTACTATGTTAAACAACAAATCAATATAGACAACAAGGTGTGTCACATGATGTTAGATCCATTTCATGCTCCGAGGCTGTGTTCCACTTTACTTCTCGAAATGCACTCACATACTTCTCTTATCTTGTTCCCCTCAGGGTAATCTTAGCCACCATTTTTAAAGTGTACTCCACTTCATTAAGTGAATGAGCAACATTTACATGGACAAACCCTCGAGAGTCAGCTTCATATGTCCAAACCAGCACCTATATGTCCCTGAATGCAGTGCTATTGTGATATCACAACAATTTAGTTTATAAGTGCTGAAGTGTTTATTGCAGGGATCACCAATCTCGTTCCTGGAGGTCCGGTGCCCTGCAGGGTTTTGCTCCAACTTGCCTCTACACACCTGCCTGGGTGATTCAAGTATATCTAGTAAGATCTTGATTAGCTTGTTCAGGTGTGTTTGATTAGGGTTGGAGCTAAAATCTTTAGGACACCGGACCTCAAGAAACAAGTTTGGTGATCCCTGGTTTAGGGCATTCCATATAAACCCATACAGATGTTGCACCAGTGTACACACTTGTGTAATGTAATCAATGACATGCATTTGAGGGAACAAGATGGAGGGAAGTTAGCGAGTGAAGCTCATAAAAGATGGACTAGAATGCAGCCAAGTGCTGGGTTTCCTATTAAAAAAACAGCTTAAATCAGACTAAGCTGGTTGGCCAGCCTGGTTTTAGATGGGTTTGGTCACTTCCAGGCTGGTTTCCAGCCATTTCCAGCCTGGTCTTAGCTGGTCAGGCTGGAAATTGACCAACTAAAACCAGCTTAACTAGCCTGTTTGAGTTGGACATAGCTGGTTTTGGCTGGGCTGGAAGTGGCCAAAACTCCTCTAAAACCAGCCTGGTTGACCGGCTAATACCATCCAACCAGCCTGCTTTTCAGTAGGGTTTCATTCAGAAGGGCTCATCCCTTTGTGCCTAATCCCTTTAAAGGTGACCCTCTGAAGATTTTAGAGTAGGGGTCACCAAACTTCCTCCTGAAGGGCCGGTGTCCTGCAGATTTTAGCTTCAACCCTAATCAAACACACCTGAACAAGCCAATAAAGGTCTTTAAAGGTATACTTAAAACATCCAGGCAGGTTTTTTGAGGCAGGTTGGAGCTAAACCCTGCAGGCACACCGGCCCTCTAGGACCAAGATTGACCCCTGGTTTAGAGCAAAGGGAAGAGTCCATCCGAATTAAACACAGTGTGGAACAAGGTTCATGGAAGTTATATCCTTCAAAATACTTCATTCCAAAGGGCTCTTCAAAGTGGCCAATTTGGAGCACTTTGTTTTGGAACGACACTTTAATATAGCGGTCTTAAATTTTTTAAACTTCAAATCACCCTTCGGAGGGCAAAATGTCCCGTTTGGAATGCACCAATTGTCTTTTCCATTGTTTGTGTATCTCTATGAAAGAACTGCAGTAGCACATGCTGCTCTGGCATATTTACTACATCATTTTCAGTAGGTTTCAATGATTTTGTACGTACACAGATTTTTTTAATTTAAAAACTCCTGATTCATGTGGATGTAGCCTTAGAAGAAATAAAACCTTATATTTAGCAGAAGATGATATTATCCTTTCAGTTGGGATAACTAAAGTCCAGCAGCTTCACTAACACTATAAATGAGCCTCGAGGGAATAAACGAACACTTCAGTGCAGGGGGGTCAGAGTCTTGTCCGCCAAGGTCCCCTCTTCTCCATCATGGGTCTCGGCTCCTGCACCATCACCTTTGCGATTCAGCTTGACAGACAGTTTTGTGAAGACGGAGTTTTCTGTATTTGAGCCGCGGCTGGACCTGGTGCTGCGGCTGGAGCCCATCTCTGAATTGGTCCCTTCGAAAAGTTTCGCCATGAAGCCTAAACCAGCCTGACGGATGTGAGAGCTGCCAGCGAACACGTACAGGACTGGATTCACACTGCTGCTCATGAATGCGAATGCTGTCACATTGGGACGACCCACTTTTGCCACGTTTAGAAAAGAAGAGGAGCCCTGCATCACACCAATCACCTGTGCAAACAGACAAGGAGAAATTAACGCTACTTTGTTGTGCTGATATAAATGTCTAACAGCTGCCTTGTTGTTGGGATTTTAACAAATATTTAAGTGTAAAATTATTGATTTTGTTTATTTTGATTGCAAGGATTTCAAATAGTCTGACATGATTTATGTTTAGCAGCAATCATTTTAACGCTAAGGGACACAGCTTGTTTTTTTCTTGCTTGTCATCAGATGTAACCCATGATTACGTTCCCGGATTACAAAGTTTCAAAAGCTGAAGCTATGCAAAATACTGCAGTTTCACATGAGAATTGTCAAACCAGTTAAGACTGGGCAGGTGGACAGGCATGAGAAGATGTGGGAGCACAAAGATAGGTTGGAGAAAAAAGCATGAGGTAGGAAGGCCTGGTAGGGAAAGATGCAGGTGTACAGGGACAGGGCAGAGCTGGCATGCAGGAAAAGCGGCAGGAGCCCAGAGTCAGGGTTAACTGGAATAACTACAGCAGTCGCCATCCTCGATCTCATATGAGGTAAGAGAGCGCGATGACATCTGATGACATGTGCAGGTGCTGTAGGGCTGTCCCATTTCTTAGGGGTACATTTGGAAGCATTTCCCCTTCACACTCTGTGTCAAGGGCAATGGGGAACAGGAGGGGGTAGGGGTACAAAAAAAAGAATTGGGATTGGCCTAAATGTTTTCCACATTTTAAAGTCAAAGTAATTTGAAATTAGTTAGAACAGTACAACTGGCTGTTTACCATTCTGATGTAAACAGGGCCGGAGCGGGACTCCTTTTCAGCCCTGGAGTTTCAAGTCTTAGACTGGCCCACCTCAGTTCACGACTGACTATATTAAAATAAGGTCATTTCCAATTCAGTTTCTAATGACACTATCACGTCTTTTTCAAGAAAACAGCTCCTTTAGAACTTCAAATATTCAACAACCCTAACAATATTATATGTCTTAACAATAAAAATGAAAAAAATTTAAATTAAATAATTACTCAGGTGAGGTTCGAACACGGGTCAGCGCGTCGAAACGTAACGTGCTGACCACTGGACAACAAGGGCACTGTTACAAAGGTTCTCAGGTTATGTCAGATTTTAATTATTAAGCAAATAAATAAATAAATGAAAGAAGTGCGACTGCTGAGAGTGCAAGCAGCTAGGGACACCGGCCCTCGCGGCCAAAAAGCAGACCGGCTTGCCGGGAATTCACCCGGTCTTCCAGATTAGCCTATCCGGGCCTGGATGTAAATGTTGTCCAAATGATGTCAAAATGTGGTACATAAGCAAATGAATAATGAGGATGTGCACATATATGCCACCATAAACATAAAAAACTGAAAATGACTGCATTGAGATCTATTTATGTGAAAGAAAAAAGAAAAACAAAAATTGAATTTTGTTTCAATTTCAGTTAGACTGTACTTTCTTTAAAAAAAAAAATCAAATAGTGACAAAAAGGCTAATTGTAAAGCCATGCCAGCAGAGGGCAATGTTGTCCTAGAACTGACTTTCAGCACCCTCTCTGCTGCTTCTACAGACACTTCCTGCTTGATGAGCATGTTAGCCTGGACAGACCATACACACACTCAAGGTATTGCCAGTTCTCAATGCTTTACCAAGCAGTTTCTTTTGTCCTGTCTTGTTTTTGACTATTTCCTGTGTGTTTTAACTTTACCTTTTGGATTACATGAACCCAGTAGTAAAGTTGTTGCAACTGCATTAGGGGGACAGATGTATTGAGAATGAATTCAACAGTTCATTGATTCTGTGTGATAAATTAAGCTTCAACCAAAACAAACTAAACCAATTCCTTTGAAAAATGATTCAGTCACTGTTTCTAAGCAATTGATCCACAGAGGTTACTTTGTAGCCTGTCAGAGGTGGGTAGATTATCCAAAATCTATACTCAAGTAAAAGTACAAGTACTTGTGGAAATTTTTACTGGAGTAAAAGTAAAAAAGTACCTGATGAAAAAATTACTCAAGTAAATAGTTACTAGTTGCTTTTGATTTGTACATGTACTGTTATCATAGCAAGCATAAATGAAATCAGTTATTATTAGAAATTAATTAAGACTTATGTTTAGAAATGTTGAAAAATCTTTCTGTTAAACAGACATTGAGGAAAATATACAGGGAGCTAATTATTTGAATATTTTAATATTTCAATGATTTTTGGTAAAACACTAAATTAAAATGTTATATTTTTAATGGTTAACAGCAGGCCTTTTTGCAGTTTATTCACCTTATTTACAATTTATAAGATTTAAATACTGCATTTTAGTGACATTTTAAGCTCTATTTTTAGCTGGATTGTTAGATGGTGTTAGATGGTTGTTAGATGGTCATCATAGTGACACTTTTTAATGTACCAAAATATTTCCTAAAGATCTGGAATAAATAAAAATCAATAAATACTTTTCTAAATACAAATGTATTATGAATCAGTAGAAAAAAATAGGAATCTGTCAAAGTGTTAAATTAAAAACTGTAGTGTAGCCTACAAACTGTCCTCAGTCAGAATTTGGCTATTTGAATAATAAAAAATTAAAATATAATAATAATAAAATTCACATTTTTTTAGCCTTTCTTGTAAAAAAAATGCATTTGATTTAATTGAAAATACATGGATAACAAAATAGCCAAATTAGTTTTCTCATTCATTTAAAAATAGGCCGCTTGTTGTGCTTGGCACCTTTTTATTTCATTTTTTGTTTCAAGAATAAGCTGCAAGATTTAGAATAAGAGTTACTTGTAAAATGTTTTCTCTATTTAAAAACAATACAGTAGTGATAGATGACGTTGCTTCCATCTGATTGCATGTTCTCTTGCACAGCTAGATGTTGGAAAATATGAAAAATATTACTTTGCACTGGACAAAACTGATTAGATGAAGTCACATCAAAGCGACACCCGACTGAGGATTCTGCTTGGTCTTAAAGCCAATGGATTAATTTCATTATTAATGATGGCATAGCACTCAATATAACACAAGTGAGCTCATGTATAGGACAAACTTTGTCATTGAGGGGTGGGTCTTTCGAATGGGCCTGCATAGTTACCATTAATAAGGTTCAAATTGGGATAATATTGATACTTACCACTACTTTCTTTCAGGTTGGAGCTGTAACTCATGTATATGTTGCGATGTCAGATCGATGCATGCATCACATTATGAACTTGAGCTGACTATGAGCTGAACTTGAGGGCGGGTGACTTGGTCCGATAAACTTACTACACAGACAGCATGACCGTCATTCTCAGAACAGCAGATGGCGATATGGTGTGGCCGCAGTATACTCGCACGTCTTTCTCGATATCAGCCATCATTCCAACACAGGTGCGCACGCCCTAACCGAAAACGGGAGTCGCATCTCTATAGCAGGGATCCCCAAACTTGTTCCTGGAGGGCCGGTGTCCTGCAGATTTTAAGCTCCAACCCTAATCAAACGCACCTGAACAAGCTAATCAAGGTCTTGCTAGGTATACTTGAAACACTCAGGCAGGTGTGTTGAAGCAAGTTTGCGCTAAACCCTGCAGGACACCGGACCTCCAGGAAGGAGATTGGTGACCCCTGCACTATAGCAACCTCTCCGATGCTGCGCCTCGCGATATTTGCAAACAAGTCATATGAATCATATTTATTATCATTTGACAGTAAAGGAGCAACAAACGTAACGAAGAGTACCGATTTATCTCTAATAATTAACTTGAGTAAGAGTAAAAGTGCACGTTACCCAACAATTTTACTCAAGTAAATGTAACAAAGTAAATGTAATTCATTACTACCCACCTCTGCCTGTCACAAATTGGTAACTTTGATATGTTGGCCTGTGATGTAAGCTGATCACACGCTAGAGATGTTAGTGCGAGATGCTCACCTGTATGATGTTGATCAGGTGATACGGCAACCAGAAGAGGGTGAAAGCAGCAATGATGATGAGGATGAGAAAGTTTCCTCTTCCCTTACGCTGGAACATGGCGCTGCGCAGCCGAAGGATGACTGAGATGTAGCAGAACAGGATGAAGGCGAAGGGCAGCAGGAAGCCCAGCAGAGTCTCAGACAGGTACTGAAAGATTTCATGAGATTCACTCTGCCAGTGGTATGGGTTACACAGGTAGATGGGCACACCTGGTTTATATTGCACAACAGAGCTGTCAGAGCAAAGCAGATGAAAACAAGATGAAAGAGGCTGACATTTAAAACAGGGAGATAAATCTGAGGCAATAGTTTAAATTACAGTTATGCTTTAAATGTTGTACTTCAAATACAGAATATCCCTGCTGAGAAAAGTCTAAAGGTTCTCACAGCAAATGCCATTATTACCTTACATACCATCACAATTTAACCACTACACTCACATTTTGTCACATTAAACACATGGTTTCTACAATATTTTGGAACATGTCCCTTTAGAATTCATTGCCATTTTAAATTAAACAAATAAAGCAAAACAGTTACCAGTAGACACCCACAGAACTTATGCAGTTTTCATTAAAACAAAAAAAGATTATTTTAGAAGGCTATTAACAATCTTATGGCAGTGCCTTGGCTCATTTTACCACTGATTTACTTCATTCAGTATTTGCTTTTGGGTGTTTTTTCCCACTCTTTTATTGAAACAAATGCTTGAAACCCCTTGGGCTAATGCATCAATCATGTTAAAAAATGTAACTTAAGAGGAAATTTCTCATGAGGGGGAAAACATCCTGCAAGTATGCCTAATCTAGAGTGAGTGTCAGTTATTTCTCAAATGAATGCCTCCAAGTCCAATGACCAATGCAAACTTCTTTTATGTAGTTGGATGAAGCACAAGGTTTTGCATGGCCTTCATCTACAGAACCACATGCCTGAGGTATCAAATGCTTAGAAAATTCTGAGTTATATAAAGTTCTAGTCTTCTAAATATTCTCTTAGTCTAGCCTTGTCAGAATTTTGAGCACCTCTTTCATGAGTCCACACTTAGCTGATGATTGATTATAAAGCGTGTTTGGCATGCTGTCCAGAGAAAGAGCCCTGAGCTCATAAGATCCTCGAGCCCAGGGCTCCCTCCCATTTGCAAGGCCAGAGTGGAGTTTGAGCTCGGGTATATCTGGAGAACTCTCCTGCTGTAGTAGCTAAAGAACAAATAGTGACTGCTCTTAAGAGATGACTACTACTTGGAGCATGTCTATGGTGCTGATTTAGATTAGTCAATTAACTTAAGTTGTATGTTTTTGGACGGTGGGGGGAACCCAGGGGAAACCCACGTGAGCACAGGGAGAACATGTAAACTCCACACAGAAACGTCACCTGACTTGGTAGGGACTAGAACAAGTGACGTTCTAGCTGTGAGTCAACAGTGCTAACCACTGGGCAACCGTGCCACCCATCTAGGAAAGGAGGAGGAGTCTTCAAAACAAAGATGGCTGTCATATGGAACTAAGGGTATTTATAGTGGCTTAGTGAATCAAAAATTGAATAATGCAGGACAAGCCACAAGCACGTGATCCTCTCGAAATTAGTGTGTGAATAAACTTTACTTATGTTAGCCGCCAATTTGCTGTTTGGACTCTGAGCACCTTGCTTAGACTATAACCTGTTTTCCCCAGATTATTTTCCAACCTTGCCCTCTTGGATAATGTTTACCACTGATCAGCCAAGCTTGTCCCGGTTTTGGGAAAAATTGGACCCCCGCCTTTCCTCATTCACCAATATTTCATATTTTGGAAGCGAGGTCCCGACTCTCTGTGGTCATTAAAAATCCCAGGATGTCCTTCGAAAAAAAGCAGGGGTTTAACCCCAACATCCTGGTCAAATTTGCACACTGGCCTCTGTCCATCATGGCCTCCTAACCATTCTTGTATCATAATTGGCTTATCCACCAATCAGTTGGTGTGTATTGTGCGGTCTGGCACAATATGGCTGCCATCGTATTATCCAGGTGGATGCTGCACACTTGTGGTGGATGAGGAGACCTTACCCCCCACCCCCACACCGAAACAAAACAACATTGGCAAACATTTAAGAGGGCTAGGTTATAGAATACTCCGGGGAAGACAGTTATAGTTCAAGTAAGGGGCTAAGAATCCAAATGGCAAGTTCCCTAGTAGCAAAGAATTCTGGCCCAGATTTGACATAAAGCTGGGACATCAGGCATTCATCCGGCACTGGCATACAGCATGTGGGCCAACCATGGCCTGGGTTTGGCAGAGGTGGCACCGTCTATAAGGCGGCACACAAAATTGGGCCAGATGTAAAATGTAGTATTTGGCCCAGATTTAAAAAATTGATTGTGGGCCACGTGAGTTTGGCCAGTCTTGACCCACATTTAAAATACATAAAAATAATTTTTGATTAAATAAATCAATTCTACCAATCAGGTCACTGAGAAAAAAACAAGGCCCATAGTGTGCCTAAAGCACAACGCTTCATAGGTTTATTAATTTCATTGCAATCGTGACACACCAACCTTACTGGCCCAGTTCAGGCCCAGTTATGAGTTATTAACTTGGCTGAGACTTGGCCCAGATATGGTCTGTGTGTGGCCCTTGTCTGGAAGCCAGATTTGGTCCAGTCATGTACCGTAATTCACAGCGGCATGTGGGTCAAGCAAAACCTGATTGTGTGGGCCAGAGCTGAGCCAGAGAAATTTTGCTATGTGGGTTGAGAGGATAATCCAAAGAACATGGGCAAGAAAAAACTGGATAAATCAGACAGGGATCTTTGTCTCACCTGCTTTAGCCCTGTTTGCTGTTGCTGAGGCAGACCTGTTATTTACCACATCTCTGTTTAGTAAAAGCCAGCATTTTGTCCGTGCTCAATGTGATGCTGTCACGATTACCAGCGAGCTTAACTCCATAGATCGCTGGAATTCAAGCACAATCGCTTGCGGACTACGAATCCGCTATTTCAAAGACTACATCTCCACACATGCACTTCGCTTACACACACGTTCCGTATCCTAACTGATTGCACACACACCACCGGAGAATTGTCAAGGACTGATTACACACACTATTTAGGCAGCACATACTCTCACTCCAGTCGCAGAGTCTTGTTATCTAGTAAGTGACATCACAAAGCGTTTTCCTTGCCGTGCCTTCCGTGTTTTAAACCTTTGCTTTGTTTTGTTTGATTATTTCTGTATGCTGCCTGCCTTCTGACCATTTGCCTGCTATTTCGACTCTGAATTACCCTTATACATCTGTTTGCTCCTGTGTTGATCATCGCCTGCCAGACCATCCTGTCAATAAAACCCTGCATTTGGATCTTCAACCCTGTTATCAGTGTCACACCCCTGGTTACAGATGCACATACTACTGAATGCCTAAATCTATATTATGTGGCCCATATAAGCAATCCAATGTACATCAGGTTGATGGCAGCTATACAATTCTGATGGTCATCTGAAATTGAACACTAAGTAGTGGGTTAAAAACTGTATATAGCAAAGATAAATGCAGTAAAATTTGACATAAAAGCTCAAGTAAAATTGGGTTCCCTGTTACATTTCCATTGTGTTTGTCCAACTTGCAGTATGTTTCTCTATTTGCGTGTGTTGTAAGATTGTTTGCATGTGAGTGGTCAAACTGATGATGTGGTCACACTTTATGTTGATGGTCTGTTTGTTGAACTAATATACATTGCATCTACATGCCAAATAATACTCATTAGATTAAAAGTAGACTGTTAGGTTGGGGTTAGGGTTAGTGTTATGTACTTTCAAAGTTTCTTATAGTAAGTTAAATGTCTGTTAAATGAGCAGTATCAACAGATATTAAGCAGACAGTATACTAATACTCAAATGAACCATCAAAATTAGGTGGTAACTAATTGTTAGTGTTTTTAAATATGCATATGTTTTCGTATCCCATTGTGCATTTGAGCTCTCTCTTGGCCACCATATTGGCCTAATGTAATACCAGTGTTAGGCAAGCTACTTGAAAAATATAGTGAGCTAAGCTATAAGCTACTCTACTTAAAATGTAGCTTAACTACACTAAAAGCTACCCTCTGGGAAATGTAGCAAGCTAAGCTAAAAGCTACTTGGCAAAAGTAGCTTAGCTACATCTAAGCTATTTTTGCTATTTTTGTTTTTAAATCGAAGCAACTTAAATCCAAGGAAGTCATATCTTAGTGATCATTACAACTGTCAATGAATCATATTAGGCATAATAATTCAGTTCAATTGTTTACTGTAAATAGTATGCTGTACTAAATAGAAACAAATTATAGTATATAACAGCAGAAACAAAAAAAATCAAATAAAAGCAGGTGTTACACATTTAAAATACTATAGTAATTTATAGTAAAGAGAAATATTTTGATATAAGCATTATGCATAATGTATATATATATATTTACAACTCTTCATTAATAAATTACACTACATAATGCAGTAATTTATAGAAGTACTTACTATAAATTACTAAAGTTTTTTTTGAGCACAGCATCAGAAATTAAGTTATTGCATCCAAGGGTGCAATTCTGGTCTGAGAGATGGGGGGGACCAAATCTGAGTGATGGTGATACTGTTGGTGATAATTTTAGAAATGTGCAGCAATGATGAGTAATTGTGTGCAGAAAAGCCTAAATTTGAAAAATAACTTTTTTCGACTCTTGAGGGAAAATTATAGCAATTATAAGTGCGATATCTAAAAAAAAGTGGAGGGGACATGTCCCCCCTGTCCCCCCCGGGAATTGCGCAACTGATTGCATCTTAACATGTACGTCTTGAGGTATGGTCATAAAAAATCCTACTTCGGTTCAGAAATAACTCCTCTCCCTCAGTCATTTTTCCATCAAGCAAGTTTCTTGCCTAATTTGGTTTGCGACGTCACCGACCAGAGGTGGCAGTAACGCACCAAAAAGTTTGTTGTGAACCACTTTGAAACAGGAAGAAGAAGAAATCATCATGCTCACCATCATATGGGCTGCGTCCGAAACCGCCATCTTCCATACTATATAGTACGCCACTATATAGAGTGCGCATCCCATGCATGCTGCGCTATCCCATGATGCCCCACGAGCGAATTTATGAATGGAAGTAAAGCGACGCAACTGACGCAGGTAGGTCACGTGACCATGACAAAATGGCGGATGTAGTACGTCCGAATTCCATTCATACTTTTCACATACTGTATAGAACGTACTTTTCTAACGGCCGAGTAGTACGGTTAAATTCAAATGCAGTACCTACTGAGTAGTAGGCGGTTTCGGACGCAGCCATGGATTTACTTTCATAAGCCAAACACCAGCCTCACAGCTCCGTGAATGTCGGTGCCGTCGCTTATTGATCTGCGATTGGTAAATGTAGCTTTGTAACGCTACTTCACTAATAAAATAGCTTCGCTACTGAAAAGCTATTTGATTTAGAAAGTAGCAACGCTACCGCCACGCTACTGAGAAATGTAGTTAAGCTAGTAGCGTCACTACTTGTAGCAGTGCTACTGCCCAACATTGTGTATTACTTATAAAATGAAGTTTTAAAACTACTGCATTGTAAAACTAATGTACAACTTATACATTATAAAATGTAATTCATTAAAGAGTGTGGATGTAAAAACAAACAAACTATTAGACATACCGATAAAATGGCATGGGTAAAGCCATCAGAAAAGCCATGACCCAGATGGCCAGCATGATGCTCAGGAGCCTCTTCTTGGTCCTCAGCCTTTGAGACAGAAATGGTTTGGTGACGGCGAGCCAGCGGTCCATGCTCATCAGACAGATCAAGTAGATGGAGGCGTACATGTTGACGCAGCACAGGTAATGCACCGTCTTACAGACTACAGGTCCAAACTCCCAGCCTTTCCCTCCCACCAGATACCGGATGAAAAGCGGAGAACTCAGGAGCACCAGAGCATCAGCCACGGCCAGATTCAGAATCAGCAGACAGGTGACAGAGCGGCGCCGCACTCGACACAGTACCGACCACACTACAAACAGGTTACCGGGAAAACCAAACACAAAAGCGATAACCAGGATCGCAATGCCAATCTGATGGGACAGGGGCAGGGATGGTGGTGTAGATGGGGGAGCGGGCACAACGGCGGATGCAGGTGGTCCAGAGAAGACCGGAGTTAAAGGAGTTGCCATTTGAATCAAACTTTATGGTGTTGCTTCTTGAATTTACTGTGGAAAGAAAGCAAACAGAGCAAGAACATCAAAACCAACATCTATTTCCCTTTCATCTGTAGGCTATAATTATTTGTCAAACACATTTGTGGTTCTCTGTTGCTGGACAGTTAGAGACAATGTCGTATCATGATTTCTTGAAATCGTTCGGTTCTTGAAAATAGAGCCAAAGCAGGGCCGGAGTGGGACTGCTTTTCAGCCCTGGAGTTTCAAGCCTCAGACCGGCCCACCTCAGTTCACGACTGACTATATTAAAATAAGGACATTTACAAATCAGTTTCTAATGACACTA